TGACATTGCCTCCAGTGCATGATGCCTGTTCCTCGCTGCTTCTAATAAATCACGGGCCTTCTCAAGGACAGCCTCAAAATGATCAATTTCACCCAAGCCATCAAGTGCCTTCACGCAGTTTGTGCGCTTCCGCTGCAACTCGGAGTTTTCCCGCATTATTTCCTCCATTCGCTGCGCCTGATTCTGTTGTAGCACGGCAATTTGACGATCGAGCTCACCGTGCTCGGTTTGAATAACTCGGAGTACCCCAAGCTTTTGTTCCCTGAGCTGCTCAATGAGGAGGGAAATCTGCGACAGGGAACGTCCCTCAGTCATCTCGTGCCCAAAATTAGACAACTCCGGCACGAGTGTCTCCCTCATCTCAGCCTCAAGAAACCTCTCCTTCTCTGTAATCTGTGTCCGAAGAAGATTCATCTCCGCCTCACCACCCAAGCATTCCTTGTGTCTCGCCAATTCTTGACGCAACCCTGCAACAATGCGATTTTGTGCATCTATTCTCTGCAATATGTCTTGTCGTTGTTTGTAATTTTCCCCTTTCTTCTTCAATTCTTCCATTACCTCCAAACGCTGCTCCAATTCGGATATTGTTTTCTTCAGTGACTCAAGGTATGTAGCTCCAACATACGGCTTCAACTTTCCCAATGCCTCCTCGGTGCTCACGACGCGTTGATGTAGGTGTTTTAGTTGGTCCTCCTTCATATCCTTCTCCTTGTTATCGGCATCCATTGAGCGAAGCAACATGTTCCGTTGATCCTCAAGGAGTTTCTTCTCGTCATCAAACTCCTTCAATGCCTTGTCTCGCTCTGCCCTCGCCAATTGTAATTCCGCATTCAAGTGATCGCTCACACGCTGCAGGTCTTCCTCGCACATGTCATCATCACCCAAGACAAGTCCTGTCGAGACGTTCTTGACAATTCCCTGAAGCTCCATACGGCTTTCTTTATATTGCCGCTCCTGCTGCTCAAGAAATTCAGTGGTGGAGCGAAGACGCAGCGCCGTTTCTTCACATTGCTGCTTTTTTGCCTCAGCCTTCTCAAGGAGGTTCGCCTTATCGGATGCGTCTGCCTCGAGGCCTTTGATACGCTCAGCAAACCCCTGTTTAAATTCCAACATCTCCTCTATCGTCAAAGTCATCGGAGGAAGGGTCATTCGACTCAATGACTCTTGCTTCTCGTCGATGCGGCCTTGAATCATGGCAGCCTCGCGTGCCAAACCTTCCGCGCCCTGCTCCACAGCACTCAGCGCTGCCGTGACAGCATGCAGTTCCTTCAGTTGCGGTTCCAACGACTTGGCTCGCTGCTGAATTGTGCGGACCAACTCCTCCTTCGCTGCAATGTCACCCGTGAGCTGTTGGGCCTGCTCCCGGTGCTCTCGCAACGCCATCAAGTTCGCCTCATGCTCCTTTTGCTGTCGGCGGAACTCTTTGCTATTCTCCCGAAGTCGATCGAGGGCCAAGACATAGCGAGTCGCCGCAAAAATCTCATCAAATATTTTTTTTACCTCTTTGGGCGGCAACAGCGGCCAATTGGTGTCCTCTTGGTGACAGAAGATAACATGCTCTAGAACCGCCGGGGAGACACCCAACATTTCAGGCACGGCACGGTCCACATCGTTGGCGCGGTAAGTGCTAGACAAAACCTTACCGGTCGCGGTATCCTGAAATGCCACAGTGCTGTCAAGCGTCGTGAAGGTTGTCTTGGTGCGAGTACGCAAAGCCTGAAAGGAACGTATTACCTGCATCACCTTGCCGCCTCTCCCGGTGAAAAGGAGACGGATCTGCGCCTTGACATCCGTCTCGCCCATCACCTTAGGATCATACACAAAGGAGCTTTTCTCAGAGCCGCTACCCGGAGGCATTTGTCCCGTACAGGCATTCAGTAATGCCTCGATAATTGTTGTCTTACCCGCGCCATTTTTTCCGAGTATGACAGTGAGAGGCTTCTGGAAAACAATTGTCTGACGGTGAGCCGGGTTGGGGTCAAAGCTGCGGACACCGCTGATTTGAATCTGCTCAATGCTTGTCATCCTCGGATGCTGCCTCCACTCCCGTCCACACGCAGCCCTTTTCGCCGCCACAGAGAGACATCCAAAGAAAAGAGCAAACGAACAACAACAAAAAAAAAAAAAGATCTATTTCCAGCCACACAACACTGGGAGGGGAGGAAAAAGTCATAAAGACCCCTCCGCTCCCAGCCAATAAATCCATTATCCGCGTAAAGGAGATCCCCACGCGGAGACCAGAAAAGAAAAAAAAAAGGGTAGGAATGATGATTCATTTTCATGGTTTATTAAAACAAAAATAAAATAAGAAGTAAGCGACAAGGCTCCGTGACTCCGAATGTGAGACTTCACAGAGAAAAAAAAAAAAAGAAAGATCGCAGTGAACCTCAGTCCGCAGGAGAGAAGCGTCACATCCCGTCAATTAATTTGCCTACTTGGCGCCTGTAGGGCGGAATGGCACCTTCGTGGTGAAACGACGCTTGCGCATATCGGTAGGGCGGGCACGGACAGTACGGCTGTGGATGGCGCACGCGATGCAGAAGCGCTGCTTCATGTAGAGCTTGGGCATCGGGAAACCAGCGCCGTAGACGTTGGACGCCTCCGCCACATCGCGGGCAGAGGCCTGGTCAAGCATGCGACGCACAACAAAGCGCCCCACAGCCTTGTCCTTCGGCGCAAGACGGCCACAGTTGAAGCAGTGCACGGGTCTTGTGCGGCCACGGGAGCACGGAGGCTTGGCACGGCCATGATTGCGGCGCTTCGTCGTCATCCTTTTTTTTTTGTCAACGGGTATTTAGCCTCCTTCGCTTAAGAGTGACACACACAAACCATAAAACAAAAAAAAAAAAAAAAGAACCGAAGGCGGGAGGAAATGTGTGTGTGTGTGTGTGTGTGTGTGTTTGGGCACACGAGGAAATCCACACAATGTAGAAGAGAAGTGGGCCCCAAAGGCAGGCAAACAACAAAAATAAAAAATAATAATAATAAAAACTTTTTTGCTTCGCGCTTCTCTTTCATGCATCAGTGTGGATTTGTTTTCCTTTCCTCTTGGCCTGCGTGGCGTTTCTGTCGGCCCATGGTGGGCAGCAAGAACCAACGCAGCCCCACACATCCCCCCTCTTGACGCAAAGCAATCACTATCCGCGGCGACAACAACAAGAGAAAAACGCCCAAAGAAGTGTCGAGAAAAGGGAATAAACCAAAAGACTGAAAAAAAAAAAAAAAAAAAAAAATATGAATCACGGGTCACCCCCCAACGTTAACGCAAGCATTGCTCCTTCTTGTTTTCTGCTTCCCCCTCTCGCTGCCACAGGCACGCTCACAGTCACCGCAGTTTTTTATTTTGTTGTTCTTGTTCTTGCTGTTTTCCAGCTTTGGGGAGAATGGGTAAAAAAAATAATTCCCACGCACAATTCCTGCGGCCCCATTCTTCTTTTCCCCGTTACTCCCCATTAACATGCATATCTCACCGTCATTTCCTTTTTTTTCTTCGCTTACACTATATTAGATGGCCGGTGAACACTGATAAAAGGTCTATAAAAACACGCAAAAGTGGGGGAGAAAAAAAAGAAAGGAGAAAGGGACCAAAAAAAAGGCATTGACGCACTACTCATGCTGTTTGACGCTACACACTGTCAATCCCTTGCATCCCCAACGCCATCCTCGTAGATGCCAAATATGGCCTCTGCCTCGGCGAGGCAAGGTGAGTCGTACACTTTCATGATGCGCTGTTCACCCCGTCCCTTGCGAAGACTCAGTCGGGTGGTGGACGCATGCGCCATAATATGGCCGCCAATGGGCTTTTTTGCATCTGCCTGAAACATTTGTGCAGAGCCATCCACATTAGCGACAACCTGATTTGTAACGACTACAGCCACGCCATATTCCTCCGCAAGATTATGCAGAGAACGAAGAAACTTCCCAAGATGCATCTGTCTTGCTGCAAGTTCATTACGTCCACTATAGTCCGTGCGGTAGAGTGCAGTGGCAGAGTCAACGATGATGATGGCAAAACGATTTTCAGCCATCATTGCAGATGCCTGAAGCAACAACTGTTGTTGATGATCGGTGTTAAAGGCACGTGCGCAGGCGACGTTGGAAAGCACGTCTTGTGGATCAAGTTTATAACGTTCCGCAACTGCAACCAATCGTTCGGGTCGGAAGGTGCCCTCTGTGTCAATGTACAGTGCCATTCCCTCCGCACCACCCTGTGAAATGGGCAGTTGACACGTGACGCACAGGGTGTGACATAGTTGTGTCTTGCCTGTACGGAATTCCCCAAACAACTCCGTGATGCCGCCAGTCTCAATGCCCCCACCGAGCAGTTTATCCACCTCCCGACTGCCGGTAGTCACCATGATGATCTCCTTACGTGCCTCGTGGTAAACCACTGCGGATGTAAAGCCCATTGGTACCAATTTCGCACATTCCGCCATAATTTTATCCGCCTTCGTTTCACTGATACCCTTGACAGCCAAAATGTTTTTTTTGGGTGCGTACGCGACTGACTCGACGGTGTAGAAACCAGACTCCATGAGCTTTTTAATGTCTGCAGAGGCAATACCGTAGCTTTCTAGCACTTGGATAACGCGAAAGCCGCCGTTGTTCGCGCCATCCACATTTTGTTGATCCTCCTGCTGCTGTTGCTGCTGTTCGGGGGCTGCAACGGGATCGGGCGAGGTGTTCGCAATCTCATGGACCTCCACCTCCTCAACGCCCTTTCGCTTGCCTCTCTTGGAGCGGGTGTTCATCTCTCACTCCTTTTCTCACTCTTTCTCGCACAACCACAGACACGCAGCAACTCTCTTACTTCCTCTTAGTTCCTGCGTGTTTCTAAATGACGCAAAAGCAGGAAAAAAAAAAAAAAAAAGCGAAAAAATAAAAAATAAAAACCGCGTGCGGCGGCGTAAGACAAAAACACGCAGTAAAAACCCGCTCAGCCCCACCCACCCCAAACAACCCCTCCCCCCCCCCCCCCAAAAAAAAAAAAAAAAACACCACAACCACACAATGTGTGCGTCTCGCACCGCACGACAAAATAATGGTATTGCCCACCCGTATTCCACGCCCAACAAAACGAAACCAAAAGAGAGTGAGTGAGTGAAAGTGAAAATGAGGACAAAAGACGTGCAGGACACTCTTCGCATTCGTGGGCTTCACTGCATTCCTATTCCTGTGTCATCGCATGTGCTCCATCCCAGAGTAGAGTTCACCGCACACCTTACATTTTCCCCCCGTTGCACATTTCATCGCACAAGTTTTGCAAAAGAGTGCGTGGTGGCAGCTGTTGGTGCGGTACTCAATCTCCCCCGTGTGGCACTTCATGCAGGAAACCCCGTTCCCGGAGATGCAACTATGCCCCTGGGCGGTCACTCGGTGGCTCATACTCCTCGCCTTCACTTATTTATTTTCTTTTCTTTTTTTTTTTTTTTTTTTTCTTCTCCTTTTGAAGTTCCTTGCGGTTTCCTAATTGCCTTACATCCGTTGTACCGTACGTCCAGAACCAAGGCTGATAAAAGAGCGGCGCGGTGGGGAAAAGGAGAAACGCACGCAAAAAAAAAGCATTAGATTAAAAGCTAAAACTGCATTCAAAGGCAAAATCAAGTTGCATCAACAGACGCCGCAAACACACACACACACACACACCATCAATAATATAGCAATAGGTATGCACATGTTTACCGCGATGTCAAGGTTATTCTGAAGTTAATACGCATAATTTTATTCTCATTTTCGTTTCTGAGAAGCCTACCTCCCTTTTCTGTTGGCTTTGGCTGTTGTTGTTTTCGTTGATGTTTTTTTTTTCTTTTTTTGCGCCCTCACGTCAGTGAGGCACAATACGCGCGCCTTTTGAGGTCAATGAAGTGGCGCTCCTTTGCCTTTTCTCGGTACTCCTCCAGGAGATTGTCAAAGCGGAGCTTGTCTGTGGCACAGTCCAACTGTAGTATCTTCTTTGCAATTTCCTCGCATTGTGCATCTAACGTCCTCACATCAGTCGCCAACGTTTTCGCCAGACTCTCAGGGGTGCCGATGGAATTCAACAGCGGCGTTGCTCGCAGCATCTTCTGCATGGACTGCACGTTCTGTTCGAGGGAACGTTGAAGCCCCTCCACTTCGGCTCGCAAATTCTCCACGACCGGCTGCAACTTCAAGTTCTCGTTTGCTACGCGCTCAATGTCGTCAATCGTCTGGCAACTGGCGTCACGAATGGCCTTAAAAAACGGCAACTGATAGGCGTAGGACTCCAGACAGTTGGGGTTCGACACAATGTCCTGCAGCATGGAGTCGGACAGCGAGCTCAGCTGGCTGGTAAGCAGCTCCATTGACGGCGGCACCACACTCCCCCACAAATTTGCCAAGTTGGCAAAGGCGTTCCCAACGGCATCCACCAGCTTTGACTTGGACGGATCCCACGCGTCAGGCGCGGAGCCGTCAGGCGAAGCCAGGGAAATCTTCCGGCCGTCAAAGTAAGTGACGATTGGAGGGGTGCGGGGAAAATGAACGCCCAGCGTCACGCAGAGCACCGCGGCATAGCCACGGTCCGGGATGACGTGCTCCACCTGCAGAAGTGTCTCCGCAGAAGACTTGTGGATCACCGTCACTTTGCCGAAACGACTCTTAAGCTCATCGACGTACGGCTGCATCCGCGACATTTGTCTAAAAAAAACACGCGCTTGTGCCGCGGAAAAAAACTGACACAAAACACACAGACAAACAAACAAACACGTAAGGAGAGAACATCATCATCAACAAAAAAAAAACTCAGGAGAAAATAAAACTTCTACTGTGAAACTTTAACAGAAATTGTCACTCGCTGAGATGTTCGCAAACCGTTCGTTTCTCAGCCTCTCCCACTTCGATTGCGCACCATTGCCGCCACTCCTACTGCTGCCGCAGCAACCGCAGTAGATCTCTTTTGCAGCGCCCTCTCCCACATCCGTGCTGGTGATGGCGCCACCAACGGCAATGTAACACGCACGATAGGCGACACGCCGAGCGGAACCACGGCATTGTCACTCTTTTCCACACGAGCACACAAGAGGCTCACAAGAGCGTCCAGATCAAGATTTTCCAAGAAGGTAGGCCACTCCTCTTCTCCCCTCTCCAAGGTTGTAACCAAATCGTGATTCCTGCATTTTCGTCGGGGAAACGGCAACGTCTCAGGGCGTCCCTGATCCTTGTGAAACAACCACATACGACTGGAGTCATTCGCAGCGTTTCCCACGTTACCGTCGCCATGATATTTGAGGTTAGCTATAAGGTGTGCAGTGTCATGACGAATCAACAGTTCGGTAGGGTTCACCCGCAGCTGAAAGGAGTGTCCAGCCGACCACCGTCTTCTTCCTACTGAAGAAAATGTATTCGTCATCCCAGAGAATGATGGCCACTCGTCCTCCTCCCTTCCTCCCTTCACCCACATCTCATCGCCATCAAAGAGAGAAGATGCCGCCTGCACTGTTCGCTCCTCCTCCGCAATGTCCACACACTCCAGCGCTATCACCTCCAATGTTACAAAACCGGAGATCACCTCCTCAGCGGAGGAAAGATTCCTCACAAACGCACTCGTAGCCCATGGAGAAGCAAAACGCACTTCCATTTCTTTACCAGCCGCACCACACGGGGTGCAGAAGTACTGCGCGCCGTACTTCTCCAGCCTGTGATTTAACCGTTGCTGAAGCTCCATGATAACTGCAGCCGGTTCTCCATAATCCAATGCTCCCATCAGTCTTCCCTCCCTCTGCGCTGCTTCAATCGCGTTGGCCTCCTCCTCCAGCGAATTGATGCAACACATCCCGCTCTCTCCGTTTTTGTTGTTGTTGTTCTTGTCACCGCCACTGCCGTCTCGAGTCAGAAGAGGTAGTTGGTAGCGATGGCACCATGGACTGCGGTACGCAGCTGCCCATCCGCGGATACTGGGAAAACTCAACTCACCAGCGACGCGTCCCAAATTCCAGGCGCAACACACAAAGGAATGTCCATGAACAGCATCACCGCCGCACCGTCGGCGTTGCAGCTCGGTATCACGACACCATGAGGGAAAGGCCTCCCACAGTTCTTTGGCCCCAATGGTGAAGAGAGGTGGCGGGGTGATGCGGGGCAAAGTGGTGCCGTGACCCTCCCCATGAAAAAGCACCTCATCAACGATGCTCGCACCGTCCAATTCCCCCGCAACGTCGTTCACTCGTTCCCCTGTAATTTGCTGCAGCAGCAATAACCGAGCCACGTCCTCCCTATCCCCACCACGCGAGCAAGTACGCAGCAGTGTTTCCACAGCCTCTTTGCGGCTTGTGCTATCCATCCTAAACCACCCGTTGTTTTGCTTTTTTTTCGTTTTGTGAGTGCTCAGTTCAACAACTAGGGCAGAAAAAAAAAAGGCGACACGCGTGCACCCATGTAAGGACTTTTCCAGAGACATACACACACAGAGAGAGAGAGAGAAGGAGAAAAGAAAAAAAGTTATGCGCGTAGGGAACCAAAAATAAATAAATAAATAAATAAAATAGCGGTTAAAGTCAAAAAAAAAAAAATGAGTCCTCTGCTTGTCAAGCAACGGGCCAAACAGTAACGCTCACAATGGCGGGACATTCACAATAAAAAAGAGCGGAAGAGAAAATTCAAAAAAGTTAATCCACGATAACAATAAATAATGGGAATTCTGCAATCTCCAAAGTCTCAACGACAAATTTATCACAAATCGTCCCACACTCATCTCTTTTAAAACCTGTGTCAAATGCACACGCGTCATTGGCATCATCACAAACTGAATTCCACTCATGAATCCGCATGATATGCCTCGCTATGTTGCTCTTACAACAACAACAACAAAGAAAGGGCATGATAAACAAAGAATTGGAGTCAACAGCGACGCGCAAACAGACATAAATATAAAAATACACATACGCAACTTAATTCGTCACTGTAGGCGGGTTAAAGTTGTGAAGACGCCATCATGTAAAGTTTTACTGGCCGCATGAGTTACCTCCAAATCCTCCCCACCACACACCCGTGGTGCTTTGCTCATTGCTCACGCCGCCCATCGGGCTGAAAAGACGCGGCACAGGCCACTGGAAAAACAAGTGCGCTTCCCTCAATCCCAAAATCTTCTCCCACCGCACGACTAATCAAAAGCGGGGAGATGGTTTCCGTGCCTTTGCTTGGAAACTGAGGGGAAACCGGCAAACTGCAACCAACTGCCAGACTAATCTGCACCGGCGAAACAGTGATTGTGGCAGCATCCACCATCTGGGCATGGCTGCGCTCCACGCATCCTTTAATAGATCTCGACTCACGTCTCACAGGGTTACTTGACAGCAATTTGTCTTCATCTTCGCTTTTCAGTGCAACTTCATTGCCGTCATCCGTGAATAATTGGATCGGGGGTTGTAGGCGTTTATTCTTGTTCATATTTCCTGGGTTATCCAAGCAGCCACTTCTGTCACCGTCCTCTGATGCCTTTGCGACTGGAGCATCCACGCCGCTCTTAGCCAACGAAGATGATGTCACAGAAGCAATGTGTACCATCGTCGTCTCCTCAAAAAATTTTATCAGATTGGCAAGGTGTTCTGCAGCCAAAAAAAGTGTCTCCGTTACAATCGATTTCCATCCAAAGTCTATAGCCCACATCGACTCTTGGGCTCTTTGCCCCGTGAACCGGCCATGAAGGATAACATGCAGCATGTGGCAGGCAAGCGTATATTCACTTAACACAAAATGATGCCGCTCCAACGCCGTTGCGACCCGTTCAATAAATGCAGATAAGAACGCTGGCTGTATTTCCGATGCGGTCATTCTTGTTTCTTGTACCTGCTGCCGCCGCTGCAATTCCTGTTCTTCAGTCTTCTTTTGTAACGTCTCCATGGCTGAGATCGCCCGTTTTTCACGAACTTTACCTAATCGCAAAGCCGTCCCCATCGTCTGAAGCGTCTCCGTCGTTTTGGCCAGTTTCCCCTTCAAATCATTTATCTCCTCGAGTAAAATTGATTCACGTTGCCGTAGAACCTCAACTTCCACGGTTTTCCGACTAAGCAGAATCCTATAATGGGAAAGTTCCTGAAACAACTCCTTATTATGATCGTTTTCGCTGCGTAGCTTCTCATTTTCCTCTCCTAGTTCCCTCAACTGTTTTTCCAGCTCTGGTAAACCGGGCATTTTGTCCCTTGCGACATCTTGCTGGCGCCCAGACCCCGAAGAACAAGAACAGCCCATCAATGATGACAAGGCACGATATTTTTTCTCCAGCGATGAATTCAGACGCCCGGCTGCCGCAAGACGCAATCGAAGGGTGTCGACAAGAGACACTAATTTCCTGTTCTCTGCTGTCAAATTCAATACGGTTGCCCGTTGCGCGTTTTTCACTGCGGCAGATTCATTGGCTTGAGTCTTCTTCCCTTTTGGGGAAAACGCCTCTTTTCTTGGAGCATTACTACGACCCGCCACGTGCACCCCGCCCTCCCCCTCTTGGGTAGCACGAGAGAGCGAGCTTGTGCTGTTCATAAGACCGTCGTCCCCTTCACGAGTGATAGATCCCTTCGGATAAACGGTCGCCGTCATCTCCTCAACTCGCGGTCGTGAAGACGAGTGGGTGATGTCATGAGCGCGTAGTCGCCTCACAAGCTCCTCCAAATCCTTGGCAGTCGCAAAGGCCGGTGAAGATCCCCTGCGCCCTTTGGAACGGAGTGACTCAATGTACTGCAGCACCTTCCCACGGTACGTATCATTCACACGTTGGATGTGGTAGTTCTGATCCTGCAAAAAACTCACCTCGCCTTCCAGCTCCCGCACACGCCTCCGCAGCTGCTTATTCTCCGAGAACAAGGCAGACGCCATGCCAGGCATGATGGTAGCAGTGGGTTTGTCTTATTTGTTGCCGGGTAATAAAATACGCCTCACTCGCTATGAAGTCACAACGTTCCTGATGAAAAAAGATGCGACCACAGATGGAGGCGGCCCGCAAAAAAAAAAAAAAAAAAGGCGAGTGACGTGTTCTCCGTCGGATCCCTGCTTGGTTGTTTGTTTGCTTTTTTCTTTGTTCTTGTTTCTTCTTACAACCTCCTTCTTTCCTCCGCCACCCATGAGATTGGGATATGCGGAAGTCACAACAGAACCATTTTACGATCCCGCAATAGGAAACACGGCAGAAAACAACAACAAAAAAAAAAAGTGTGAAAAAAAAGACAGAAAAAAAGACAAATTCTTTTCGTGTTGTTTATTTGTGTGTGTGTGTGTGTGTGTGTATATTCCTTTGGCTCTCCGAGAAGTATTTACCGCAAACACGTTTTCATCGTGAAAACAGCAGTCAGCCCTCTTTCTACCGTGTCAACAAATAAGCAGAAAAGAGCCTGTAAATATTACTCTCATTCCTTCATTCAAAGCCATGGAACATGCACGAACACACGCATACCCCTCACCATTTTATTGCATTTGTGGCTCTTTCTCCTTCTCTCCTCTTCCTTCTTACCGCACCACGCGTTGTATGCATAAACGTGTAAACGACACCTCATTCTAGGCCATCATCATTAGCACCACCATTCCCGTTTGAAAGCGATTTTCTTTACGCCTTCTTTGCATCCTTGCGTCTACGGCCCCTCGTCAGCGGCTTCTTCATGTGTTTTTTCTTCTCGCGCTGCGACGTCTGTCCGGCAGTGGGCTTCACGACGGTGAGGCGGCCCCGCTGATCTGACGGCACGCGAGAAGCCATACGCGACTCGACGGCGGAAGCATAATTTGCCCGCGCCTTCGCCTCAATTGTCTTCCGCCGTTTCCCGTAGACGGTCTTCTTCTTCGAATCCCCAACGGACTTGCGCAGGGCACCGCCGCTCTTTTCGTGGGACTTTCCCTTCAACCTCTTCTGCGCCATTGCGACAGTCTTTTCCTCCTAACTGTTTGCGTATAAACAAAATAACGTGTGTTCTGCGATAAACAGCGGAAGCAAAAAAAAAAAAAAAACACAATTCAAAGAGACCCCAACACAACGACATCCTCCGCATAATAATAATAATAATAATAACAAAACAACAACAGCGACAAAGATGGATAGACTAAAAAGTGTCACCCCACAACTAATCTCGTTTTTATTTTTATTTTTTTTTTATTGACGTGTAGAGGTGTCTGCTTCACATATACACATTACATACATGAAAAATTTTGTTTCTTTCCTCTTTTGTTGCCTCTTTTTCAGCCGTAGTTTCCTTCTGTTTGTTTTACCGCCTTATATTACAGGGTAGGGTGGGCTGGAAGAAATTGTTTTATTTACATTCTACTCCAGGTGGTAAAAGCAAAGCCTCATCATCGCCATTATTGGGCAAAACTCTAAAAGTTCAAAGACACCACGCAAGCCACGCCTC